TCGAATCATCCAAGCCGCTTGTTAGTTGCCTCTCCCAGGATCAGGAAGGTTCATTGACTAATTGTCGGAGTAGATGGGGGGGATCCCCCTGTGAGAAGGGAGGGAGAGCGTGTGATCCCAGCTAATGACACCGCTGCCCCTGGGCTCCCACCGTTAATAGCAATGCTAATGTAGCTGCCCAGCCTGCGGGTATCTGTGATCCCCCGAGCGAAACCTTCCACATTCCACGGGGTGGGGGCAGACAGATCGCTTACGGCCCCACTCTCATTGTCTCCCGCACACAGGACAGGGGCAGATGAGGAGGATTAGGCTCCGTGACACTCTCTGCTCCTAGATCCAGCCCTCCTCCTCCTCCTCCTCCTCCCGCACGGGGTGACAGCACAAGATCACACGGCTCTGTAGTGAGCTGAAGATTCCCCAGGCACAACAGAGGTGACAGCCCGACCGCAAAACAAAGCCGATTTCTTGGAAAGAACTTTGTGACGAGTCGGACGTAAGCAGCAGACAAAAAGCTTGGTGCCAATCTCCGATCCGTAATTTCCTCCTGGAGACCAGCACTGATCTGTGGTGGTGTTGTTGTTGTAGCCTCGTCTGCTCTTTTCAATCAACCCTTAAATCCCATCGCAGGAAATTTCCCTTTCTCCTTGTCTTTCTTCTTCCCGCTCGGCCGTTCGCCCTCGTTTAATCAGCCACACATGCACTCACACGTTGGGATGGGGGGGATAAAAGAGGAAAAATGAAGCTGGGAAGGAGGAGGGGAGAAAATCCCACACAACCCAAGCTACCGCTCTCAGCAGCTCCAACAACACGCTCTGTGTAGGTGACTTCTATGACCAAATTTAGCAGCAGCAAATCATTAACATTCTGATACATATTCACAACATTGAGGGGGGAACACCAGACACTGCTGGGAAATGTAGTCATCGGCCAGGACCAGCTTCCTTCCCTTGACTGGTGTTTATGGTACAAAAAAATACAGCTCCCAGAAATAACCGCGGCTTTAGGCCCCGCCCAAGAACACAACGATTGGGCACCCGTAACCAATCGGAAGCATAGGAACGTTAATCGCCACTCTCCTATGACTGCCTATCATTTTCCATTTGACCAATAAGCACTACGCAGGAGCTTGTGTTTACTGGCTAGCACCCACGTGGGGGAGGACGTATCCGATTCATTCTCGTCCTCTTTGTCCTCCCGCTGCCGTCCAATCAGCGGCAGTGCGTGCTCGTAAGCCCGCCCCGGGTGGTGTGAAAAGGGAGGGCGTGGGCGGGGTTTTCTCATAACGAGCAGTCGAACATGGGAAACATTTGTCCGGATGTCAATCAAAGTAACGTGGGTCGCCTGCTCGCTGCTAGTCTGTAGATGAGCTGCTGCTGCTCTGTGTGGCAATCTGTGGTGAAAACAAGCATGGAGGCATGAGGAGTTATGAGGGAGGGGTGCTTGTACTCCTACATCACCGCACGTCCTCCTCCTCCCTCCTCTTGCTCCCTTGTCCTATGTTAGCTATCACCCACATCAAGGAATGTTGGCTAATTAGATTCCAGTGTCTCCTTAAAGAGACAAGACTAGCCTTGTGCAACGTGCTGAAAAATCCATGCTAAGTGAAGACAGAGAGGAGGGATCAGGCATAACCTACTTCCCTTGGCTCATACCAATTTCACACACCACTGGAGCTGGCATAATTTTCATGTGAAAAAAAAGAGGGGGGTGGAGGGCGAAGCTGTTCTGTGCTATTTACAGACCCAACATGCTGCTCGCATGGCCGAGCCCCTAACCCACCTCGATTGCTGTGCCGTGAGCGTTATTACTTCCTTGCACGATCGCCCTTCATCCGTACACCGCTTCTTCTACAATAAAGCCAGATCTGTGTTATACGATCGCCAACAAGCACAATCGCCAATGGCTGAAAATACGCTGGCAGATACGATCTTGTTGAGTTCAACGTTCGGTTGAACTCGATGGACTTGTGTCTTTTTTCAACTTGACTCACTATGTTACTGTGATCATTTAATCCGTCTATAGTGCGATCGGTTCCCCTGACACTGGAGCGAATATTTGTTGGATCGTTCAGAGCGATTGACAGAATTCTGCCGCGGATGATCAAATTGCCAGCATTGAAATGCAGCGCGAGTACACTAAATGCGACGGGATAAAAGGTCTATGGTTTATTTATATAGCACTGATGATCTAATTATTCCAGGTATTTATATAGCACTGACAATTTATGCCGCACTTTACATCCTGTACGTTCACACCAGTCTCTGCCTCTCCAGGAGGAATCTAACAAATTCACATTAATCAGTGTGGATGGAGGAATCTGCCGCTGCGCTATTTTATTTTGACAGACAGCCCGCCAAACAGCACCTTCATTTAATCAGACGCAAGGGCCGTTTGGCTGACAATTTTTCACACAGCTCCTTCAATTTTTTAATCAAAGGATGTTGGGCGGCAGCATTCACTGAGCAAATTTTGGCCGGTTCTTCATCTCACATACATACATACATACATACACATACTAGTGCGCGTATGCTTGTTTTTGTTGTGTATAAGGAACCTCATTTAATTCAATGCTGTGTCCTACACACAAAATTTGCACCATGGATGTCCCCACACCCTTTTTGTTTTTAAAACACAGCTTACCAAAACTCCTGGCACATGCTTTTTGACGCATGTAAAAGCACATGGTGTGTTGGGGTTCCATTAACAATGAATGGTATCGCAGAGTATCTTACAAAGCACATGGTGTGTTGGGGTTCCATTAACAATGAATGGTATCGCAGAGTATCCTACAAAGACTTTTCATAGGGGGTGACACAAAAATGACTGTCAGTCATTTTGGTGTGTCATCTACAATGGTGGCACCCGGGTGCGAGCCATACACATCTTTACCCACCTAGGTCTTAGTAACCTAGGGCACTCTTGCCAGCATCCCGCCTAGCTCATTGACATAACTGGTTGCTACCAGCTGAGCAGGAAACTCTGGCCAGAGTCCCACCTAGCTCCTGGCAACCAGTGACAACAGTGAGCTGGATGTGACACCAGCCAGAGTTGGTGATGAATCACCCACCGTTGTATGTAGTACCAATGCCCTTCCCACACCGAAGGAACATATATCAGCAGCCAGTGGCGTCACCAGGGGGGTGCGGCCTGCACCTGGGTGACACCATTGGAGGGGTGACACCAAAATGACTCACAGTCATTTTGGTGTCACCCCCCTCTGAAAAGTCGGGCGCTCGGTCATGGACCGAATGCCCAACAGTATCAGGAGAGAGGAGGGGACCCGGTGGCATACCTTATCCCGCCATTACCGCTCCGGGTGTCACCCAGCCTCGGGACGCCCCTGTCAGCACCACCACCCCCTACTCCTGAACGTGCACCACCAGCAACAATCTCCCTGCGCCAAAGGCTAGGGACACCCCTGGGGGTGGTGCTTTTCTGGAGTAAGTGCACAATGAAGGATATCTTAAACAGACAAGGAAGTTCCCTGTGACATCACACACAGATGGCAAATTTCCCCATGACATCGCACAAGCAGGGAGACAGGGGGGATGGTAGCTTAGTACTCTCTGAAGTGAAGGTGGGTGCTGAGGAGTTTCATCCGTGCTGGGAGCTCCTTGGTGCTAATGCCTCCTGATGGGGATGGGTGCTGTGCTGGTATGGCCGGAGGGTTCGGAAGGCACAGACACCTGTGGTGCTGTACCCCCTGGGGGGGGGCGTCCCAGGATGTGCAAGAAAATCCCTTGGGAGTGGGACCCCACAGTGATTCACTGTCACTGGGTCACAACACTTCTTGTAATTTCTGCACTACACCTCTAGGGCGGGTCTTATGGCTAACCCAGGGCAATTTTTTACCTTGGCCGAAAGGTCTGCCAGGTTTGTACACTGGCACTTATTAATTTTTATGCACTTTTGAACACCTTTTGGGCCCACAAAGACGGAAGATGCGGGTAACTTCGAGGCCTGCCCTGAAGTTCAGAGGGAGGCTCTGTGGCTTCTATGGGTTTCTCTGCCTCTCTCCACGTTTGTGATCTCTCTTAAGGAGAGCCCCCACCTAACACTTGTGGGACCTGTGTCGGCAGGTCCCTGAGGAGAGGGGTCTGCCGGCCTTCGGGTAGGTGGACCTGGGTTGTCCTTGCACCTGTCAGGAGCCTTGCTCTCCGGGGGGTTCAGGATATTTCGAGGTCCTTCCTCTTCGGAGGAGGACCATAGCACTCCTGTGCACTTTTTTTTAGTGTGTTGTAATTTCACGATTCCCTTTTTTTGTTCAAAGGGGTGAAGTTTGTCTTCAATGCATGCATCACGGACCTTCAAAAAAATAAATGTGTTCTTATCAGTTTTTGGGAAAGACTGGGGTTGTCTCCATATTGGTAGTCTAATATTCTTTGGAGCAATAGGTGGGTGCTGGGGGGAAGGGTGTCCCTCTTCTTTTTCTTTCCCTCCTGGGTTAAATCTGGCCTGGTCCCAGTTGTAGGCAGGAGCCCTTCCAGTGATATTGCCTTCTGGTAAGAATGGGGCTGCCCTCGTCTGGCCATGAGCTGGGAGGGCCCAAGGGCCTTGGGGGTGGCATCACAGGTGTGCCATAAAATCACTATGGGCTTGGGACCCCACTGTCTTTCACTAGTTTAGGTCACGACACCTAAAGCATGTTCTGGACTATGCTTCTTGGGAAGGCCTTCTGGCTAGTCTGGAACAATTTTTTATCTAGGCTGGAATTGCCTGCCATGTCTTGCCCTGGTACTTATGTATTTATGTATTTGCTAATATTATGCACGACTGCACATTTGGACCCCACAAAAGAAAGAGGGTGTGGGTGTCTTCAGGGCCCTGAAGTTGGGGAAGAGGTTCTGTGGCCTTCACGGGTATTTTTACTTCTTCCCTTTGGGATAGCCCTCATCAAATGCATGGTGGACCGGTTTCGGTAGGTCCCTAAAGATCGGGATCCTCCTGGCTTCAGCCTAGGTGGACCAGCCTAGGTTTGCCCTTGTCAGGTGCCTTGCACCCTGGAGGGTTCAGGGAATTGAGTCCTTCCCGTTCAGAGGTGGACCAACAATACCCTCATGCACTTTTTTTATTAGCATGTTGTCATTTCATGATTCACTTTTTTCGTTCACAGGAGAAGTTTGTCTACGGTGCACGGCCTTAAATAAAAACAAAAACAATAACAAAGCCTGAAACAGCTGTATGCAGTTTGGAATGAATGGTTTTATTAAATAAGGCTATGGTCGATAGTGTGAAAAGCAATGATTTGCATAGCTCTTCCTACTGTTCTGAACTAAGGAATACATGTGGATATCTTCTGTTTTTAGGAGCCTTTACTGTGCTAACAAAAGAAGAGAAAATAGTTGAAGAGCCTATAATCACACACACCTAAGGGCTCATTTATAACACATGGCTGTCTATGCTCATCAGCACCATCTAACAGCGGTAGTGCTGTGTGAACAGAATCCATCTATCTACATGCTGGGCAGAATATTTAGATATACAACCAGTCACATTTATGTTATAATAATTTTAGGGGTAACATACACTACGATGGGTGTGTGGTCACCTTTAGATCTGCATTTGTTCCTCAGCGATTTGTAGATAGCATTGATCCCAGCCTGGTGTTGTTATCCAAGCTGTAAATCTCTGGTTAAGAATAGTGCTTTTACGATATCTTTTCAATCAGTTCCCCTGCATGTGATGGAGGTGGAGGGCATTTTACATTGATAAATAGGGCCATCAAGTCAGAGGTGGTGACCTTTCTTCAACTGGGGGAAATTAGTTGATGTGCTTCTTACAGAGCATTGCATTGATGCTGCAACAAAGGCAGGGGGAATGATTTCTTTCTGGATGGTGACAGTGAAGTATTTTACACATTGCTTTTTTATGAGTTTCACCTTAGCTGTTCTATAGCCATCTTTATTGATTACCCAGCATTTTCCTAAAGAGCGCCGGGCAAAATGTAAAGGAAACTTGCCACAAGAGAAATATCAGGGCTGCCACGGCTGATCTCTTTCTGAATATGTTAGTTCCCTTGCTGCCCTACAGATGACTTGGTCACAGTGACTTTTTTTTCCGCTGACCCAGATCAGGAGTTCAGACTTTACTTTTAGTTGATGAGAAAGTAATAAAACCAAACCCAACCAGGAATGTTTAAGAGGTCAGAAGTTTTGTAGAGTTGGGAAGGGTTAAGAACACTCTCAGTCTATTTGTTTTATTGCCAGTGTCCTGTTAGGGAGATTTCCCCGCACTTCCGATAAAGCAGACGCAACAGGAAGTGATATAAATTCTTCAAAAAATTAGGGCAATTCTCCAATTAGGCACTTGTTGACAAAACAGGTGTCCCTGTACGAAGACCTAACCTCACCTCTTGTTCTGGTGACATTTTAAAATTTGGGAATTCCCCAC